CCCCGCCCCCCCCCCCCCCCCCCCCCCCAGATGTGACCCGCTATCCCGTGTTCGCGGGCAGCGGGCCGGGCCGGCTCACCCCGGCGGACGGCACCCAGGACCTCAGCATCCAGCGGATCCTACGGGTCAACAGGACGCTGTTCATCGGGGACAGGTAGGGGCGGTGCGGCAGAGGGCACAGGGGTGCCGGCGCGGGTGCCTCCAGAGGGTGCGTGCTGTGTGTGTGTGGAGCCAGCCTGGGGCGGCTCTGGTGTGTGTGACAGCAGGTGGGGACAGCTGCTGCTGCCTCTCGAGGGCTGCAGGGGCGTCCCGTGGGGGGTTCCAGCCGGTGAAGACATAACTGCACGCGCCGATGTGCAGTTGCCAGTCAGACGTGAAAGATGTCATGGGCTGTCAGGAGGGCTTCTTGGAGGAGGTGGCGTTTGACTTGAGACCCGGATGAAGAGCCTGGTGTGGGGAAATCTAGGTGGAGGCACAGCCATGCAAAACCTGAGGCAGGGTTGCGCATGGAATGGGGGAGGGCCCAGGGTCGGCCAGGAGGCCATGTGGCAGGAGCAGAGCGAGCCAGGGGCAGTGAAGAGGAGGGGAGGGCAGGGAGGGGACAGGGCAGGTCGTGCAGGGCCCTGTGGCCTGCAGGGAGGAATGGGCTTTGACCCCTGGAGGGCCGTGGGCAGAGGAGGGGCGGCCCTGGCTCAGGGCTCACAGGCGCCCTCTGGTGGCTGCTACAGGGAGGACAGACTGGGATGCCGGCGGGGAGCTGGGGCCCAAGGGGCAGGGACTGCACTTGTCCCGCTGGAGCAGCGTGGCGGCTGCGGGGCTGGGGCACGGGAGTGGTGGGTTCCGGGTAGACTGCCGGCCGGCGTGCTGGTGTGGGAGGGAGGAAGGGGGGGACTCCCACTTTGCCCTGAGCCCCTGGAAGGACTGAGCTGCCCTGGGCCGACACAGGGCAGGAGGGAGGGGCGGGTCTGGGGCCGGCTTGACTGTGAGATGCCCGGGAGCCCCCGCATGGACATGTCCAGTGCCAGGCTGGAGACAGCCCCGCGGGCGTCAGGGTGTGGGGGGCGTTGAAAACCTCTGGGAATGGATAAGTCCCTGGGAGATGTGAGGGTGGAGGTGAGTGGAGGTGACCCCGGGCCCACAATGCACGGGTCCCACTGCAGGGGTCCCGGAGAGGTGAGGGGGAAGGTGAGAGCTGGGGCCCAGGGCTTCGTGAGGATGGTGTTCCCAGAAGAGGGAGGGGGGACAGAGGTGAGTACTGGGCTGGGGACAGGAAGGACTGACGACAGGGACAGGGCAGGTGCTTGTCTGGGGCCTGCGGAGGGCCACCTGTGGGGGGACGTGTAAGGGTAGGAGGTGACTGGCCAGGGCCTGGGGGGTGTGCGAGGGGTGTGCACTGGTGGCGTTGGTGCTGGCTTGTCCCTAGGTGTCACCTGTTGGACCCCATGTTTGCAGCAGGGAGGGTGACAGGGGAGGCCCCCCCAGTCTCACCAACTATGCTCCTCCCCAGGGATAATCTGTACCGCGTGGAGCTGGACCCCCCCACGTCCACGGAGCTGCGGTACCAGCGGGTGAGGAGGGGCTCCGGAGGGAGGGGACCCACGCTGCTGGGGGTGGGGGAAGGCCAGGACTCTCGGGGCTGTCGGGACTCCGCTCCCCTCACCAGCTCTCTCTGCCCGCAGAGACTGACCTGGCGCTCCAACCCCAGCGACGTCAATGTGTGTCGGATGAAGGGCAAGCAAGAGGTGAGTGGGACCTGCCAGCCCGCCCCAGTCAGCCTGGAGGCAGGGCCCCACCTCCCCCATCCCACCCCAGCTTAGGACCCTGGTGTTGCCACGGCACTGCCCAGGGC